GCATTGAGTTGAACAAATACAGCTGTGCCAGTATAAGTATATGTAAAGCCCGCTAGCTATGAAGTACCAGCAGTTTCTACGTATGCAGACTCCTTGCTAGCCAGCTAGCTAGCTAGCTAGCTAGCTAGCTAGCTAGCTAGCTAGCTAGCTGGTTATATAGTAAGCTTTGTTAGTGCGTTTGAGTGGTTGTGTTTCCGGGTGTGTTTAGGGTTTGTTTAGTTTGCCTTGGGATTCGAGTTCTCCGCAGTACCGCATCGTTCGTCTTGAGATAGTTCCGGTGTCTGTACACCACGAAATAGACGATTCAGGTCGTTTGAATTGCGGGCTGCCGCCTGTTGATCATTTACAAGAAAGTACAGAGAGCCAGCAGCAGTCTCCGTTTCCTGCGTTGCCAGCATTCAGCTTTCGTGCGGACGATGCAGCAGAAACAGAAGAGAACAGCGAGGGGGGAGGGGGGGGAGTTGTTGAGCCGCTTTCTTTGAGTTTCTCCTATGATGTTGTGTTTCAACCAAGTCCTGTACTATGGAGCGAGAGATGGGATATATATTTGGCGAATACACGCGATAGACCGCTGATCCATTGGTTCTCAATCGTCAACTCCTTGGTCGTGTTGCTACTGCTTTCTGCGTTAGTAGCCATGATTCTGTTGCGAGTGCTGTATAGAGATATAAGCAGATACAACGATCTTCTTGCTGATGAAGAAGATGTAGAAGAAAAAGGATGGAAATTGTTACATGGAGATGTATTTAGAAAGCCAGCTCATTCAACTGTACTCGCAGCACTGACGGGATCAGGGATGCAGGTAAGCGGCTGTGTTCAGGTGTATAGACAGCTGGTGTATGTATGGTGGAATCTGTATTTAAAACTTTTTACGCAATTCATGAATCATTTTTTTTAATTCAAATACCATCAATAAATTCAAAAAAAATAATTTATTTCGGTGTGCTGTTCGATGCAGCTCGTCGGCATGGCCTTCGTCACCGTTATATTTGCTGGTCTTGGTGTTTTTTCGCCTGCATTCCGCGGGAGTTTGTTGCAGGTGTGTGTTGCGGTGTATATACACCTGAAATATACACGTGATCGTGCTTGTTTTCTTTGCTTTCTTCTCTCTCTTCATATTCTTTTTATATTTTTTCTGCTTGCAGACGATGCTTATACTATGGACCGTCATGGGGGCTGTTGCCGGCTACACCTCAGCACGGATGTATAAATTGTTTAAGGTTCGTGAAAATAAAAAACTCATAGAAACAAATATATATAAAAAGGATAAATATATTATTTATATTATATATTTCTATCGACAAACTGCTGCCGCCTGATCCACCTGAAACACAAACAGAAACATGAATGCAAGTGCAGCTACAGCGAGAAATGCATCTGCATTCCGTTTCACTTTCTACAATAACAACCTAAAAAATAATAAAAAAAATAATAATTATAATAATATATAATAATAATAATAATAATTAAAATTATATTTCTGTATCTGCTGCTGTGTTTCAGTCGGTGAACTGGAAGATGACGACGATCCGCACAGCTCTGGTGTTTCCCGGTGTGGTGTTTTCTGTATTTTTTTTAATGAACGTCGTGCTGTGGTCTCAGCAGTCTTCTGCTGCTGTTAGCTTTACGGGGCTGCTGGCGCTGCTGGCTCTGTGGTTCGGCATCAGCATTCCCCTGGTCTTCGCGGTGCGTGTGCATGCAACACAAGCGTAGAATATATATATTTTTATCCTGTTTGTTACTGTAGCAATATACCCGGTGATATATAAATAATTCAGAAATATTACAAGTAAATACAAAAGGCTCTCGTTCGTCTGTAGATGTATGCGGCACCACACCAGCGTACTGTAGTGACCGCTAACCTCCCACACACACTTACTTGAACGCCTATAGGTAAATGCATGCATGCATGCATGGATGCATGCATGCATGGATGCATGCATGCATGCATGCGTGTGTTTCTGTGTGTGGTGTATCTGTATATTTGATCTACTGAGTTGCTGCATGCATGGTGTTTGTATCAGGGCGCCTACTACGGCTTCAAGCAGCCGGCAATATCTATCCCCGTTCGCATCAACAAAATACCCAGACAAGTGCCGCAGCAGCCCTGGTTTATGCATCCTGCTTTGTGTTCTTTGGTTGGCGGGGCTTTGCCTTTTGGGTGAGTTGCTGCTGCTGCTGCTGCTGCTGTTGCTGCTGCTGCTGCTGCTGCGGCTGCGGCTGCAGAGGGGGCAGAGAAATTGGGGTGTATGTACATGTCACAGTAACAATTTCGGGTTTGATATCCGGCTGCGGCTTCATGCTTGCTGCTGTTCTTGCTGCTGCTGCTGCTGCTGCTGCTGCTGTTGCTGCTACAGGGCTATGCTGACGGAGCTGTTCTTTCTCTTCTCCTGCATATGGCAGCACCGCTTCTATTATCTCTTCGGTGGGGGTTGAATATGTTTATTATGTTTATGGCCCCAGCAACACACACACAAAACTCCATAGATCCTCATTTCTTTATCTTTACACCCCTCTGATAGTGCACGCCTTCATATATATATATATATATATATATATATATATATATATATATATATATATATATATATATATATATATTAAACATATATATATATATATATATATATATATATATATATATATATATATATATATATATATATATATATAAAATGCTATGTCCTTTGTTATGTGTGTGTTGTGTGTTTCAGGTTTTTTGTTTTTGGTGTTGATAATACTGTGTATAACATGCGCGGAGATTTCGATAACTTTTGTGTACTTTCAGCTGGTGTGGTGAGTGAGGTTTTGTTGTTAGTATTCTGTATGCAAAAAAAAAAAAAAAAAAAAAAAAAAAAAAAAAAAAAAAA